GGTAGATTGAAAACCTCCCAGTATAAGTCATAGCATTAAGAGCATGAGAAGCGTGGTTAAATGATAAAAAATATTGTATATAACTGAAAATAGTGGCTTTGATGTCAAGCAAAAGCAGGCAAGATTATGTGCTGCTTATGTAATTATGTACAGGCAGGTAGATGATAGATATCTTCTTAGACTAGTAAAAAGAAATTTTATAATGTACTGTTTGGGAACATGAACTTCAAATACATGTACAAATATTATTAGAAATAAAATTATAAAATATGACATCTAATTAAAAAATTCTTGGTAGAATAATGGCCTAGATACAGCAAAATTTTAAATAGAAGCTAGTGTAAAATGGTAATAGTGAAGCAAAATTCAGTTTTGGACTCATTATGCCACAATTTCTAAGTTCAAAACAAAACATAGGAAACAAAAATAAGGGGGCTGGGGAGATAGCTCAGTGGAATAAGTGCCTGCCCGGCAAGCACAAGGTCCTGAGTTTGATCCCTGGTACTGCAAGGCTGGGGAGATGGCTCAGTGGAATAAGCGCTTCCCTGGCAAGCGCAAGGGCCTGAGTTCAATCCCTGGTTCAAAAAAAAAAAAAAAAAAGAAATCCTGGTACTGCAAAAGAAACAAAAACAAAAACAAAAATCTACAAAATACTAAAGTGTACCAAAATATAAGAAATACAAGTCACTTCACCTGTGGATCTAATAGTACCAAAAAAAAATCAAATTTGAGACAATATTAAAGTCTTGTGCTACTGCTTATAAGAATATACACAATTGGTGAGCATAACATTAAAAATAAACTTAATGATTTCTAAGTGATTTAGTTTAAGACTGAGTTTATAATACATTAGGATACTTCCTTTGGTTGTGTACTTCCTGGAGAAATTATTGACATTAATGTTTTCCTTTTTTTAGAGTTTTTTTTTTTTTTTTTTAAGAATACAAAGTAGTAATAGGAAAAAACACCATCAGAAACGACACAAAATTTCACTAAACAAAATAATAGGAATTCAACAATGGTTGCTTTATTACATGATGCTATCTTCAAATTAGCTGCCCAGACTACCAGATATAAATGAGCAAGATTCATTTAAAGAAAAAAACAAAACAAAAAATTTCTTAAAAATTCAAAACAAAAATTAAGGCATTAACTACTTTCAAAAGACCAGCAGAAGTTGACAATCATACAAACTATTCTGCATATATACCTAAGTATCTTTTTCCCTTCATTTGTCCTTTTCTTCATCCCAGTTTTTCCTTCCCATTAAACAAATTCTTTCCTTTTCACAGTATCTCTTGTACCTTTTAAGTTTCTGTCTTACAGGTTCTCACACTAGCAAGACATGTTCGTACACGTGGATCTGACTGTATTTACCAACACAGTCTACAGCTGCATCCATTTATCTACAAAAGCCTTGAGTTCATCTTAATAGCTGAATACTCCATTGTGTAAAAATACTGTGTCTTTTTTATCCATTCCTTTGTTTATGGGCATTTGGGTTGTTTCCAATATTTAGCTATGACCAACTGCGGCGCTATGAACATGGGGGCACGTATATTGCTGTGGTACGATTTCAAGTTCTTTTGGAAAAGTACCCAGGAGGGGATAGCTGCCTTCAATGGGGTCTCCAATCCTAACTTTTTGAGGAATCTCCATACAACTTTTTAAAATTTAATCTACATGAGGTGACAGAAAGATTAGAAAAATCAGCTCTCACTAAGAACTTAGTACTTTCACAGGAATTTGCTGGCATATTTCTTCCTACATACAGAATAACTGATAACTTGGTGCATCCCTTATATTAACCATTTTCCACCATATTGTCACATGAATTTGCAAACTGACTACAAACTACATTCCATGTGTGTTCCCATGGAATGGACACTGATACAAAATTCTCCACTCTGCAAGGCCACGTTTCGTGAAGTCATGTAAAAATGAAGATTTCTTATGTGCTGTGTTTATACACTCACACATTCATGTGTTTTCTGATATTAAGGGCATCACACAAGACTTCCTCATTATTTGCACGTCCAGCTGGAAAGGTTCTCGCCAGGCTAATCATGTCAGTGTAAGTCACTTCGTGTATTGTTATTTGACTCCATCTTTTCAATGTGCATGATGCCTAGTGCCACAGGAGGCATTTGCTTATTGTTTACACTTTTTCCTAAGTATTTCTTTAATAGGTGATGATACTGCTCTGCACAGAATGGGTTCACATGTTGCTTACCTTGGTGGCACCTCTACAGTGCGTGCTCCTTCATGCCTATGACAATGACCATGGATGCCGGAAGCTTTCCCACACTGCTTATATACATAGGGTTTCTCATAAGTGTGACTTCTTTCATGTAGTTGACAAGTATCTTGTCTCCTGAATGTTTTTGCACATTGTTTACATATAGTTTCTCCCCAGTGTGACTTCTTCCATGAACTTGACAAGAATAGAGCCTGGTGAAAGCTTTGCCACACTGCTTACATACATATGGCTTCTCCCCGGTGTGGGTCCTTTCATGTACTCGACAATAACTCTTTGTGCTAAATGCTTTCCCACACTGCTTACACACATAAGGTTTCTCCCCCGTGTGACTTCTTTCATGTACTTGACATGTATACTGCCTACTAAAAGCCTTCCCACACTGTTTACACACATAAGGTTTCTCCCCAGTGTGAGTCCTTTCATGTAGTTGACAATTCCTGTGTGTGCTGAAAGCTTTCCCACACTGCTTACATACATAGGGTTTCTCCCCAGTGTGAGTCCTTTCATGTACTTGACAGTAACTTTTTGAGCTAAAAACTTTCCCACACTGTGTACACACATAAGGTTTCTCCCCAGTGTGAGTCCTTTCATGTTCTTGACAATCTCTGAGTGTGCTAAACCCTTTTCCACATTGCTTACATGTATAGGGCTTTTCCCCAGTGTGGTTCCTTTCGTGTACCCTCCAACTACTTTTAATGCTGAAGGCTTTCCCACATTGCTTACATACATAGGGTTTCTCTCCACTATGGGTTCTTTCATGCTCTTGACAAGTATATTGCCTGCTGAAAGCTCTCCCACACTGGTTACATAGATAGGGTTTCTCTGTAGTATGAGTCTGTTCATGGTTTTGACAATTTCCACGTGTGCTAAAAGCTTTTCCACACTGCTTACATATATAGGGTTTCTTCCCAGTATGAGTCCATACATGTCTTTTACACTCTGTGTGTGTGCTGAATGCTTTTCCACATTGCTTACACACATAGGGTTTCTCTCCAGTGTGTATTCTTTCATGTATTTGACAAGCACCACGGATGCTAAAGGCTTTCCCACACTGATGACATACATATGGTTTCTCCCCAGTGTGACTTCTTTCATGTATTTGACAATTACCACGCGTAGTAAAACCTTTCCCACACTGCTTACACACATAGGGCTTCTCTCCAGTGTGAGTTCTTTCATGTACTTGACAATTACTATGGGTGTGGAAACCTTTTCCACATTGCTTACATACATAGGGTTTCTCCCCATTGTGAGTCTGTATGTGTCTTTGACAATTTCTGTGTGATCTGAAAGCTTTCCCACATTGCTGACATACATAGGGTTTCTCTCCACTGTGGGTTCCTCCATGTTCTTGACAATTATCTTGTCTGCTGAAGCCTTTCCCATATTGCTTATACACATAGGATTTTTCTACACTGGGAAGCTGTTCATGATTTTGACAATTAACACTTGTACTGAAAGCTTTCTCACATTGCTTAAGTACACAGAGCTTTTCCCCAGTGGGAGTACTCTGATGGTTACCAAATGAATTGTTAGTGGATTTTTCATAGTGCTCACATATATGATTTTTTTCTCCAGTGTGAGTGCTTTCATGTGTCTGAAAATCATGGTGAGAATTAAAAGTTTTTCCACATGGTACACATGTATACATGTTTACTTCACTGTGACATCTTTCCCCAATTTGAACATCGCTGGGTTTAACGAATGATCTTCCATCTTGCTTATAAGCAAGCAGCTTCTCTTCAATGGTACTTTCTTCAGTGTGGTCAGAGTAGGATTTTGCACATGGTCTATATTCATGAGGTTTCTCCCCAGGACCTGTATTTGCATATTTCTGAAAGTGCTGGAGTTCTGTGCAGGCTCTGCCATGTTCGTCACAGGCAGACAGCTTCTCTTGAAATCCCTGCTGCCTATATGGATGGGGTGCAGTGTCAGCCACGACAGACCCATCCGCTGACGAATGACCAATCGGGGGCCCTCCAGAGGAGAGGCCTTCACCTGGTTTTATACCAACATCTTTCATGTGCACATTTGTACCTGCAGTCAAAGCAACCATTTCTTCATTCTGATACCATAATTCATATTCAGGTGACATCTCTTCTTCTTCATTTCTGTAAAAGGCAAAAGAAACAAAGCCAATGACATTTACAAGTGTCACCATAGTAATGATTCATCATGAGATCTACTTTGATGTCCCACCATGAGATTTAATCATCCCCTTGCTGTACATTCTGAATGATAACTTGGAAACTGCTTTTAGACTAGCCATAGAATTCATTTGGGAGTTTATAATTGGCTTGTCTGCAACACACAGTGCTCACCTTCCTTCTGAGGAACTGGAGCACATCTTGATGAAACTTGCTCCAGATGGTGAAGATTTTGCGCCTTCTCCTCCATGACTGCGACCCTCCCCTTGCCCTGAGCCTCTTCACGCACTCCACAGTGTCTGCTGCTCCTTTTCCGCGGCTCTTCTCAGTTTACTACATCATTCATGTTGTGGGATGCTTTTGCAAAATACAGATTATAATACTGGAATTTCTCTGATTTATTTAATCTAATTTTATGGGGTCTGGATCCATCCATATCTCAGCAAATGACATCGCTTCACACCTATGTGGGTTAGTACTATCCCATTATGTGTACACACCACATGGTTTTCAGTGCTGGAAACTGAACCAGAGCTTCAGCACTGACACACACCCATGGGGTTTTCAATTCTACAAGCAGGGATTTAGGGTTTCTCCAGGTCTCAGGTTTTTAGAATAAAGTTGGTACAAAGGAGTACTTATGCACCACTGTAAAAAGATTACAAAATGGATTTACTGTATTCCCTTAGTTTTGGGATCTCTCTACATGTTTGCATAGATGCTGCACCACACTGACAGTCCCGCCAATAACATGCGAATGCATTTTCTAACACTTTGGAACACGAATGGACCGCGTGCTTTGTAGGAGAACTTGAAAACAAATGTGGCCGAGGTAGTGGCATTCACTCGGATTTTGAGTACACTAAGGAAATCTGCAATTTTTCTAACACTGCATGTGTATAGCACATATTACAAATAGAATTACATACACTATCACATTTAATTTGTTTGATATAAATGTGGTCTTTTTGAAACACCTGAATATATAATTAGAAGTTAGTTTATACTGGTCCCTCAGTTATCGTGGAGGTCACATTCCGCACACCCCCGCGATACGTGAAAATCAGCTAAGTAGCGAAATTGTATTTATTTTAGTATTTATAAATACTTGAAGACTTTATAAACCCTTTGCATACTCTTATAAACCTTTCCCACTTTTAAAAGCACTTTTTTTTATTATTATTTATTTATTTATTTATTTATTTATTTATTTATTGTGGCCAGCTCAGCCCACCAGGGGGCGCGGCTGACTGGCATGTGGTGCTGGGGGATTGAACAGCGTGGTCCCTGTGCTTTGCGAAACTTGTTCCAAGTAGGTGCTTTAGACCACTGAGCCATCTCACCAGCCCTTAAAAGCACTTTTAATGTTCTTAACCATTTTCTAAACTCGTAAGCCGACATCATTTTAACATATATATGCTGTACAAAATCCCGCTATATAGCAAAAAATCCATGATAAATAATTTAGACTAACAATTTTTGAAAACCTGAAAAACAGTGAGTCCACAAAAAATGAGCCACAAAACAGTGAGGGGCTGCTGTACAGGCACTTGCCAGCACAACCAGCTATTCGTTATTTTACATTACATGAAAAATGTGCTTTTGGAATAATACAATTGTCAGACACATTTCATACATTGGATGCACCCTTAGATTAGAAATACTAAATGTGCATTAAGTCCCTGGAGAAATGTGGGATTAAAGAAATTTGAACATGGTCCTGTTTGTGTAGTTTGATTTGGTTCCATATTGTGATACGTGAGGATCTTCTTCTCATAGTTACCTCAGGTTTTTCCTGCAAATTTTGTACACATCTTCAATTTGCCGGTCATCTGAGTTCATTCCTAAAGTGCAGAAACAGAAATTTAATGGTGATTCACTACATACATGAAAATCAGACTCTAGTCAGACTCATAGTAAAATGTAACCACGCCTGGAAGATGCCTTACAGCATTTCTATCTTCCCACCAGAGACTGCTGTGGACATCAGCCAAGGCTCCTGGCTGCACACGTGACAAAAGTGTCCTCCTCACCTACGGCGGCCAGGTGCCTCAGGGTCTCCCACATCACGTCTCGATAGAGCTTCCTCTGGGGCGGATCCAGCAGCGCCCACTCCTCCCGGGAGAAGTTCACAGCCACGTCCTCGAAGGTCACCGCCTCCTACGCCGTCAGACATACATTTACAGGAAGAAGAGTGAGAGCCACACACAAAAGATCTCAACCCTACTCACAAAAAGCTCATATGAGGCTGTATTTTCCAAAAGTTTACTTCAGGGTCCAGTCATTAAACGTATCTACACTGATCATACAGGAAGTTAGATCAGTGGAATATGAACTCTGCCCCTGCTGTTTAATCCCAGTTTTACTTGTCGAAAGTCACGAAAGCTCAGGTCACAGAAGGACCAAGACACTGGAATCCAAGGTAGGTAAACCTCTGATGAATGACTCTGAAGGGTGTTGGGAGCCACAGCAGCTGGAAATCGGTCAGATGTGTGAAGGCGGGCCTGGGCCTCAGGGCCCTGGCAGTCCCGCTACCTCAGGCCTGAGATGAGCGTCCCCACGGGTGGAGGTCAGCTCATCGTCACCAGACAACCTTGTGTCCTGTGTTACTAACTTGCGAAGGTGTAAACACCCCTACGGTGGGTCGTGCTGGGGGTCGTCTTGCCAACCAGGCAGACAGGCCACCGCCCAACCCAGCTCTGGTCTTCTCTTTTCCTCTTTCTTGTCACCGTTTCCCCCCAGGTACCATGGATCACACTGACAGAACAAGTAATCCCAACAAAGGGGTCAAAAATAACTTTTTTCTCAAGTTATTATTTAGGGAATTAGACATCATTTTCAAACTTCATCCTGCTTTCACAGACAGAACCTGACTTGAACACTAAGCATACTTTGCCAGCAATAACTTGGAAAGCTAATAAAAAACTAAGGACTCTAGCAGAGAATGCCTAATTACAATGAAATCTGATTAAGGAGTCCACAGCACCCTATGGTTCGGCGGTCTGAGAGACGGCTTAGGGAGAGCACTGCGGGAGGGACACGATGAAAGTACACGAGATGTGCTGATCACCGATATTTCAAAAACTTCACATGCACTAAAAACAAAAGTAAAAATGGAAGAAAAATTTCTTTCATTTCCAAAAACCACTTTAAGTGTGACAGAAAAGCACCTGATTTTTGGTAACACAGCATGGCCACAATACAAGCTAGAAAACGGCTCCAAGGAGCCAGAGGATGGAGCTTCCAGTTTCTGCGGCCTGTGAGATCTGGATAGTTATTGTCACAGGCTGGCGAAGCCTCCAGCGCCACCTCACGTCCAGGCCCTTCGCACTCTGCAGTCTTCCTCGCTGGCACTCTGCCTCTACCTCTCTGGAGCCTGTCCTCCTCTCCCTCCTTTCCATGCCCCCTCTGGTTCCCTCCAATGCTGACTTCTCCCCACTGAAGGGCCCACCTGATGTTGCTCTCCCCTGGCAACCTCCCATACCCCAGCTGGGCAGCACCCTGCACTGCACACCCCTGTGCCTCCCCGCCCCCGCTTCCGGCCAGGGCAGCTGCAGCCACTTCTTCCTGGGCTCTAGATCATCCGACCTCACGGCTGTGGCATCTGCCACTTCCCTGGGAATCTGAACCCGCTCCTCAGGTCCCCCTCTCCCAACTCCATCTCATACCTGCTCCATGCTGCAGGTTGCTGCCTCTTTCCCAGGCCCTGCTCCCCAGTTCCCCCTGTGAGAGGTGGCAGGAGCGGAGGCAGTGGTCCACGTCCGCCTTCCCCTTGTCCAGTCTCTCTCAGATCAGTTGGCATCTGTGTTCCTTTTTCACAGAAGCTACCAGACACATTCGGGAGTTCTAATGCCTCACCCAGGCTCCTGATCACAGCTGGGATGACATAAATCCTGCTCTTTCCTCAACCCTCTTGCCTGAGGAAAGAAAATGTGTTGGGCCTTTGGCTCAGGCTTTTGCAGGTGACCACAGCGGCCTTGTGCCTGACCTGCAGGAGGGCAATGCGGCCCTTCCCTGAGCCACGCGGACTGGGCCTTTGACTGGCAGATCAGAATGGTCAGTCCCGTGCTTGGGGAGCCAGGACTACGGCTGCCTGCTCGGCTGCCTGCTCGCTCGGCCCAAGGGCTCCGAAGGCAGCACACAGGGCAGTCAATCATGACAGGCTGAAAGAAACATCCCAGACCAAAGGTGAAAATCCTCCTCAAGGGAAGTTTCGTCTGGTTGCCTGGAGGGATGGCTCATTTGGTTGCACCTCAGAGAGCCAAATGGTCTTACAGAGGCATTTCCTCACCTTGTCAGCCTGAGATATTTGAAAAATGCTACAAAAGCTGCAGAGCAGCTCTCAAACCCGCAACAGGAGACAATAAAGCTGGCTTTCAAGCTCTTTCATACCATGGGTGGGTTATCTGAAAACTGCATTTCTGCTTCATCTGTTTCTCTCCACCACAGGAATCCCACCTCCAGCCAGGACTGCAGACTCTGCCAGCAGCCAGCAGAGCCCACAAGGCGCTCCCGGCCACTGCATGCAGGCCTAAGAACCTTGCGCTGTCAGGATCCTGACGTCACCAGGCCTGCGGGTGTGCAGTCGTCTCTTGCCCCCGCTCCCGGTGATCAGGCCAGGCTCGGGGCTCCCACCTCCACTTGGCACAGCTGGCAAGGGCCATGGGCAGGACTGAGGGACCACGACAGGGTCAGGAGCTGTGCTCCGGCAGCACAAGGCCAACTCTGGGAGGAAGAGGGGAGAGGGACGGCACGGCACGCTCACCCACATGCGCGCGGCACACACATTCCCCAGAGCTCTGAGATCCCTGCTCTTCCCCCACCCCGTGAGGACCAGGAGACCAGGGACACAAAATCACCTAGCACTGTGGGTACGTTATGGGACACAAATGAAAGCCTGACACATTGTCCCTAAACATCAAAGGATCATGGCACACACATCTGCTTTCCAGTTTAGCTAGAATGACATAGACGGCACTGTTCTAAACAACAAAAGAGCCAACAAATTTAAAATCCACAACTCTTCAAGGTTAAACCTCTTGCACACTGCAGAAATGAGGATGCAGATTTACCTAAGTATAAATTATTTTCACAGAAAGCTAGGAACAGAAGACTGCTATGTAAAATTTAAGTGTCCCGATGAAAAAGAATTAAGCGAGACGGGACGCTGAGATAGCTCAGCGGTCCCAAGTGCCTGCTTAGGCAGGCGTAGGGGACCATGAGCCAAACACCTGGCCTCATGCTTTTCAGGCGGTGCTATACTGTTGAGCTACATCCCTAGCACCTGGGACCAGCTTGTATAGCCAAAAAATGACTCCTTTTTAGCCAGTGAAACACTGCCAAGTTCTCACAGTGAGTATCAAGAAAACAAAACAGGGGGCAGGCCCCTTAGCTCAGTTCTTTAAGTGGCTGCTTCAACAAAGCACTCAGGCTCAAGGTGCTGTGGTTCAATCCCCACAACTCAAGGCAGCCAAACCTGCCCTGAAGGCACTTGGAGCAAAAAAAAAAAAAAAAGAAAAAAAGAAAACAAAACAAAAAACATGGTTCCACATTTCTAACAGGGTAGGAAAAAGCAAACAATTTTGAAAATGTTTTGTTTTAATAAGTTCTGAAAAAAAAAAGTGCTGACTGAAAAAAATAAGAACTTTGGCAAAGTCTGAGCCCTGGACCATTTCTACACACTGGGGCTTTGCTGGAAGGGACCCCACACTTCCCTGCTGGCTACTCACCAAGAAGGGTGTGGTTTTCACTTTTACCTCCTGAGACTAACCAGAGGTCACCCATGAACAATAAAGAGCAGCAACTCAACAGCAGTGGAGTCCCCAGCCCCAGAGGAAGAGGAAATATGGCTGAGGGCTAGAATACATTAGGCACAACTGATCTGAAAGCAGGCAGTGAGCAATCACTCGGAGACAGTGAGGCAGTTATGTTATGCAAACAGTGATGGGGACAACCGGAGACAAAGAGCCTAAGGCCACAGAATGGTTTTTGGATAAAACACCAGTAAAGATTTAGACACTATCAGAAGACAACACAAAAGTTATCCAACGGCAGAGAATACATGAAATGAATCTAGAGCCATAGAGGCTATGTTTAGCCAAGAAAATGTGTTGAATCTGGCAATATGAACAATCTGCTGGACTCCCAGTGCCACTGACTGGGAATATGAGTGACACGGATTGAGCACAGAATGGGCAACACTGCGTATCCCAAAGTCCTGGAGAGCCTCTCCACGCGCCAGTTATCAGGGACCCGCGCAGTGAGTCCCAGTCTCCTGCCTGGACTCCTGGCACACGGGGAGAGAGAGAAGGAGCAAGAGGCAAGAACTCCGAGGAGGCAGGGCTCTGGGACGGCAGCGCTCGGGAGCACCAGGAGTCTCCAGCTTAACAAAGAAGGGGATGCAGATGAGTGCCCATTTGGTATCTGTGTATTCAAAGTGGTTCGGATAGATACATAGTTACATTCTCTTAATGAATAGAGTGATTTGTTCTAATGGTGTTTGTAAATAGGATATCATGTCCGCATCTTGTACAGCAATTAACCACTAGGAAGAATGTATGCAATGTGTTAATTATTGAAACTGTCCTACCAATTTGGTTTGAAACTGTCTCATCGCTATTTGTTTCTCAATAAAATTGTGGGGGCGGGGGAAAAAGAGTCTCCAGCTGGCCAGATCTGGAGTGGCAGCACAGGGGAGCTGAGGGGCTTTTCCTGGAACAACACTGCGGCAGCGGCTGACTGAGGAGATGCTTCACTCTCTCTCTTTCTCCCTTTTTTAGGGTGGCTCCAGGGATCAAACTCAGGACCTTGCGCTTATGCCATGGAACTGAACCCCCAGCCCAAGAAGCAATGGTAGAATGGTCAAATGTAACATCATAAATGACACAAGTTTAGACTCATCTCCACGCTTGTAACAAATAGATATAAGGGAAAATATAGGGTAACGGAAATGTTGTTCATAAGGATAAACCAGTCTAGCATTCATTCAATAAAATTTGCCAAATATATACTACTTTGACAGTGTTCAACCTGTACCCTCCCAAAAAAAGTCATAATCAAATGATCATAGAAAATGCACTTTTTTTTTTTTTTTCAGAACTGGGGATTGAACCCAGGCCCTTGCGCTTGCCAGGGAAGTGCTTATTCTACTGAGCCATCTC